TGGGCAAATCTGTAATTGAGGGTTCTAGTCCTGCTATAAGGTATTACATGTGAAGAAAAATAAAACTTTTTAAATAAATACATTGCCACAGGGGCGGACTGACAACTCATGGGGCCCCCGGGAAATAGGGGATCATGGGGCCCCTGTGTCCTTGCCCAAACTCAAAAAAGCCTATGAAAAAGGTACCAGGGGCATCTCATGGGGGCCCCCTAGTGACCCCGGCCCTCGGGCAGAGCCCGAGTTTCCAAATGGTCAGTCCACCCCTGCATTGCCATCAACTTATATAGAATGATACAATCTTGAAAATGCTCTCAAAGTTTCTCTTATAGACAATCTTTCATCCCTGACCTGTGTTTCGGGTTAGAGAGTATCTTGTGCGTGATCCCTTTTTCACTACGGTCTTGAAAATTCCTTAGAAAGTCCATGTAACTGATGCCTGACAGAGAGTTCTCTAGGCCACATCTTGCCAGGAAAAGGTTAAAGTGCTCCTCTTTAAGTTTTAAGTCGAACTTCTCAACACAGTGAGGAAATTCTCTTTCTCAACCTGTATAAAGACAAAGGCATCATACTGAATTCCAGCAGTCTCTTTGCTCTACTAATTTACTAATTTTACTTACAAACATCACACTATATACACACGGTGATGGAGCTACAATTTTTCCTCTTAATTCTCCCCCCCCCCCAGCAGTCAACAATGAATAGATTATGACTATACAATCTCTATTATGGAATATTTCGGGAGACACCCATATACTACATCATATCTCATAGCAGAAGGTCTTCTGACAAAAAAAGTGCTTTTCTAATTCTGCATTTTTGCTGTACTGGTGGAAATATTTTAGTGTATATATAATGTTTTATAACTATTGTGCTCAGATATTCATTTATTAGTTATATTGTACTATATCAACTCAAATACAAAGTGGGACAATTGGAATGCTGCACTGCCATTCCTAAACTGTGAAACACTGGTAAACGAAATGATAATGTGTGTGTTAATGAATAATAAAGTGATATGTGGTGCTACAATACACCTCACTCTTCGATGTGTACTGTATAATCTCAACTCTAAAAGTGAAAACTTCCAATAGTGCATTCAATGTGTTAATACACCTAACACTTAAATGAATGTGTTAGTGCAAACCAACGTATTGCATAGCACTATAGTACACCTCCCTCTCAAGTGAAACATTGCGACACTTAAAAAATGACTCATATAATGTTGGTGAAATAAATCGTAGGCGAAACCCCTATATCTCAGTCACCGAGTGTGACGGAGTCTACAGCACACCTTCCCCTCAAGATATCACGCTATGTTGATAGTGTTAACCACATGATGTGTGCTTAGAAAAAGAAAATATAAACGATATATACAAATCATAAGTGAAAACATCCATATATCAATCTTAAAATATTTTGGGGACTACAAAACACCTTCATCCGGAAATAATCCTCAATAATTTGTGCTGAAATAATCCTTAAAAAGAAGTGTCCTTAAAGAAAAAGTCAATATATAAACAATAAATGTGCCAGTTCATATTATGAAGTCCTGGTGCTACAGGACACCTTCCACATCTAAAATGCCATAGTGACTTAGTGATGAGCTGGTGATTTTGACAACATTTTGTGATATGTGCTTCACTTGTGCTGAGTGTAATAACTCTTCAAAGGGGCCACATTATATCTATTGAGGGCACTGCACCTATTTAATCACACAAACAATAATAGCACTTTTGTAATTATTATCATAGTAACAATCAAACATTTTCAGGTATTGCACATGTGAATGGTTGAGCAAACAATGTTTATATTCACTTGGCATGTTCAAAAAAAATGTTAAAAATATAAGCGCATAATTTTTCATTGATCATTATCCAAGAGAGTTTAGCTTTCACCCGTTCAAAAGAAAAGGATGGTATCTTCCAATAACTGGTTATGGTAATTCTGGCAATTTCTATAAAAATGAAAACAATTAGCCTTCTGTAGGGTCCAGGCAGCTCCCTGCTAATCCTGTTTAGCAGTGTTTTGGATGGAGAATTGCAAAATTTTATTTGGGTAAGAGAGTATATAAAATATTCTAATCCAGAATCTCCACACGTTTGGAACAAATTCACCATATGTGATGAGCCGGGCCTTCCTATTCAATCCATGGGTGAAACATGGGGAATAAAAACATTTTCAGGACCAATGTAAACCAGAATAGTTGCCTTGGTGGACCAGCTACATGAAAGTCATTTGTGTTTAAAAACGTTTAGTAGGCCCACCTTGCCAATTCTGTGGGGGTCATACTTCTCAAACTCTCCCTTCATGCTCCGGAAGCCCTCTCTGAATTTATCCTTCAGCCATCTCTCAATGTTGAGTGAGGCTTTCCTTTCCAGCTCTGCTTGTGACATTTCTCTCAAAGACTCTAAAAAGAGACAGAATTAGAAATATATTCAACAAGGAGATTTATTTTTAACCTCTGGAATAAGAACCATGTAAAAATAGAAATCTTTCGCTGGCAACAACTCAATCGCAACAGGATTGCAATACAGAACAAAGTAAATACTTACCTGGTTCCACACTTCACTCTCTCACCGTCTGGATAAGTAAACCTTTGCTTCCTTGTTGAGAGAAACACTGCAGAATGCTACTCACCAGCGTTGGCGTGCTCATCTGGATATCGCAGGTGAGTAGCATTCTGCAGTGTTCCTGGACAGTGAGGAAGTGACACAAGGAACTAGGTGACTATTTACTCTGCATAGAGATCCTGTCATTGGTGAGTTATCACCAGTGACAGGATCACTATTGTGACAGTACCATAAGTGTTGATTTTATAGACAAAACGACTGGCCCTTATGAGAAGAAGCAGTAAACACAACCGTTGTGTATCAATGAAAAGCTGGAACAGAGCCTATAAATGTAATCAACAAAATTCAGCTGCCCCTTTTATCAATACAGACTGAACACACTAAAAAATGTGCGTTTAATATATTAACACACAATTATAATATTATTAACAACAAGCTGGTCATATATTTGAAGAGATCAAAAGAGTATATTTCCTTTAAACATATCCAGTACTTGTTCTTCTTTTACCTTTTGTATTTACATTCCTAGAAGACTGATTTTGGATTTCATTCCCAAGTCTTTTCATCAGTAAGTCCCCTTTAATCACACCAGTCCCATCCACATCATACCTAACAGAATAAAAAAGCAGGGTGACATATAATGAGTGTATATAAAAATGACATACAAATAGCACAGACTAAAATAAATGCAATTCATTATTTTCAGTAAGTGCTTCTATGTTCAAATGTAAATCATTTATCAGCTACAGATTATCTCTATTTTTGTTCCCTAGTACAGAGATGATCTATTTTTCCTGCTACAACCTAAAAACTACAAACTTTTGATTATTATTCTATCATCTGTAGAATGCTTCTTCTGTTAGACAAGACCAAAAAAATGGAAGCTGTGCCAAAAAACAAACAAACAAACAAACAAACAAAGAACTAAAGTCCCTAGTACTGCCTTTTGTCTCCCTAAAGCTCATCCTCTTCCCTTACTGATAAGCCATTCCTTTTCCACACTGCGTATTTATGTGAAGGTGGCCATCTCCTAGATTGTAAACTGTAACGAGCAGGGCCCTCTGTTTCCTCTTGTACCAAATTGTATTGTAACAGTAATGTCTACCTTCATTTTGTAAAGCGCTGCGCAAACTGTTGGTGCTATATAAATCCTGTATAATAATATTCTTAGTTGAGGAGTGGGGCTTTGCTTCCTGGTGTTAGACCCATCCTCATGATGACTTATGAACTGTTGAATAAAAAGATAAGAAACCATGGTCACACAGTGAATAAAGCAAAAGCAGGTAGATCCTTGCACTGCAGATCCTAAGGTACAGCTTCCTAACCAGCCAGGATAACAGTAAGCACCACAGTAGTGGCATCACCAAATTTCGCTCCAAATTTCATGAGCAGGCAGAGAGACAGTAGTGCCTAAGATGATCTTACACAGCAGATATACAACTATGAGGCTTAAACCATAGTCGCATGGAGGACAAAAGGACCATTCAAAACAATTTTCAGGTTACCCCAATAAAATGTCTAGCTATTCCCTATAAAATAGCAGATCTTTACATTTTGAGTTCAGAATTTCTATCACACACCATAAAAGACACACATGCATAGCATAAGTTTGATACACAGAAAGATGTACATGTATAAGATGTGGATACACTGAAAGACTTAATGAACTCGAACAATGATTAGAACCTTTTAAAAAGTTTGTTAAACTCTGCATCGTCCAGGTGGAAGCCAAGTTGTGTCAATAAATCTCTGAATTCCGGAGGTAAGAATCTTGTAGTTCCATCTGTTTTCTTCTCTGATAAAAGCTCAGAAAGTTCTACGAATCTGTTTTTTAGGATGTAATTACAATATTTTGTTAGCAGTTATGTCAAGCAGTTGTTTAAAATCAGCTAAAAGCATGCATTATTTGATTAGGTGATTGTTAACCTCCCTAGCGGTCTGATTATGTCAATATTTTTGTGCTCAAAGCGGTACATGGAAATATGTATTTTTTTATTGTAGGCCTGTAATTTTTAGGAATAACTCACTGAAATCTGTCCGAACAAGGGTCTAGTAAACATCCCGGTTATGTTAAAATTTGAAACACAAAATCATAAATTATAATTTAATAAATAATCATAAAAAATAATAATATAATTTAATTCAATAATATAATCAAACCAATTCACTGAAATTTGAAATATAGCGCCAAGTTCGCACATCACTGAGCAAAGTCGCAAAATCGTTTTCAGTGTCTGATGACGAAATTCCCCACGAATCATCACTCAATTCTGCAAGTGGTTCTGATTTACTATTGCTGTTCTCTAGCTGGTCTAAAACCGCTTTTGACCTAAAGGGACGCTTTTTGGACACCATGGACATTTCTCAGTTTCCAGGCAGAAAGAACAGTAAAAATGCAGGCAGGGTGCAGGACAAAGCACTAGGGACAAAATGTATGTGAAATGGTTTGATACAGTAATGTTATACTATGTGATTTTAGTGAATTTAGTGAATGTCACTTTTTGTCATTTTCAAATTTCCCGTGGGTTCCGTCCCTGTACGTCCCGACGTTGCAGGGGACGGAACCCAGAAGACAGATGCCGGTGTCCATCAGAGGACATTACAGGGGACACTGCAGGAGGGACATCGCGGGAGTGCAGGACAAGGTAAGAGAAGAACAGATCCCGGAGCAGCGCTGCAGGGTATTCCCGAGTGTAGCTCGGGGTTACCGCTTGTGGTACTGAAACTTTACCCCGAGCTACACTCGGGAATACCGCCAGGGAGGCTACGGTCTAAACTTGCAAAGGTTACATCTAGCACTGATTTATAGCTAGTATGTGAGAGATAACACCCTGAGCAGTGAAGTGTTTCTACTGTGTTCTAAACTCCTAGGAATGAACACTTTTTAGGAGGCTACATTGATTGGGAGGCCTGTCCACCTATATATTGCAGGGATTGCCAATGTTACACTTTATTATAGGAGAGAAAGTTGACATAACTACAGGAAAGAATGGGTTGTTTTCCAATCATTTTAATTACTGGTCTTTCTTCCCCATTAATCGCATAATCATATACTGACGTCCACCTCCTAAGTTAGTCAGTTCTTAAAAATGAACATCTGGCAGACACCATCTCTGGACACATAGGCCTAGGATATCATCTGATCTAGATAGCACACAGTAGTAGGTAGCTGAACTTACCTGTGCTTCATTTTCAGCTGTGTGTGGACTTGGGATGCTGTCATTGACATTTTATCATCTGCTTTCCTGTTAACAGGGTCCAGCCATGTAGGCCTTCCTGATGGGACTGGATCCCTTATTGCTGCATATAGCTCTTCAAACTTTATTATAGTCTTTTCATTAAGCTTCAATCTGGAAAATCAAGAGAAATAACTATCTTCATAGAGTATACAGAGATCTGTACAGGACTACTGCTATTGCTGCAAAATACAACAAAACATAACAACCAATCACACATATAACAATCATATTAGACCTCATTCATACGGGCATTGAGATCTGCAGTCACTAAATGCGCTGTGTGTTTAAGTGGCTGGAGCCACCAGGCAGCCTATTCAGGTCTATTGGGACACAGCCGCTTGTGACAGCCATGTGGGTGAATGGCCCCAAATGCACACTGTCTAAACTTCAAGAATTACAACCCTTTTAAAAATATTCTGGTTTATATAGGAGTTATGTACAACAAGGTGTATGCCACCTTTTGGATTGATTAAATTTATTAACTATTTACATTTTTGCCACGTGCTGGGAGTACAGCTATTGCTATACTCCCAGCAAACTCTGCTACACAGCAGCCACACTGTGCATTTGTATCTTCCACTAAAATTCCTGGAGTTTACCAGGTATGGATATTTTATTCATACTCTGCATATACCATACTTGGCCGATCCCCGTAAAATAGATACTGCAGTGATGTCCACTAGATTCCATGTTCCGTGCCGAGTGGCTGCCCTGATGCATTATGAACACAGGAGATTAGCCTCTCAGTGTAGCACCAGTCAAAGAATGCTTTGGATTTCCTGAATGAATGCAAAGTGTTCTCTGACTGGATGAGGCAGAGAGTGTGATGTCAAAGCCCCGCATCTTGTCCAATCAGAGAATGATTTGCAATCACTAGAAAATGCAAAGCATTCTGTGAATGGTGCACATGCAGATTGGTCGACCTCCTGTGTTCACAATACAGCAGAGCAGACACTTGACATGGGACTTGGAAGCTACTGGAGATCACTGCAATAGCCATGTTTACTTCATTGGTTTCAAGTTTCCAGGGGCATCAGCCAGGTATGGAATATGCATAGTTACACTGGTCCAAGCTGGACCAATTTAATTATGTATAAAATATCTATACCTGGAATTCTTCTTTAAAGAGTGGATACTGTTACCTTAGCAATGTGAATGTTCACTTAGCTTAGTGAATAAGGCGAAGCAGTGTACACTTTTAAATCCTAATCATTTTGCAAAGGAAACTAAAAAAAGGACTGTTTCTAGCACCTGATCGATTCACTAGCGAGCATTTATTTTTGAGTGTACAGTATACAGATTTATTGTCCATGGCACAATTTGAGCAAATTAGGGATCTTAAATCTGAAATTATTGGTAAAAGCATAATTTTTTATTTGACCCAGTTTTCTACAATCAGCCCTATTGTGCCATGTACTCAACTGATGCCGAAATAAAAAAATGCAATGTGGTTGATTCACTAATAGAGTAGAGAATGTTAAAATAGTATAGTATGAAGCTTCACTCTGAATAGCCAATCATGTGTTAAGGAAATAAAAAGCAAAACTTCATCTTTGGCATAATAATCACATATGTGTACTGTAAGTTGACTTTCTCAGTAATTGTACATGTTGTAATTTACTTAACCTGCTTACATGTGGCTATGGCACAGAGGGATCAGGTGATAAAAAGTTTTATAGTCTAATTACTGTGCTGAGTAATCAGCAGTGCAAAATAATAATATTATTCATTCTAAAATCAACTTTAACAACAAGGCACAGATCCACATCAAATACATGTTCATCTCAATAAATTAGAATATCATTAACAATGTTATTTATTTCAGTAATTCAATTCAAAAAGTGAAACTCATATATTATATAGATTCATTACACACAGAATGATATATTTCAAGTATTTCTTTCTTTTTTTAATTTTGATGCTTATGGATTACAGCTTGTGAAACCCCAAAATGCATTATCTCAGAAAATTGGAATATTACTTAAGACCAATAAAAAAAAGGAATTTATTACAGAAATGTTGGCTTACTGAAAAGTATGTCCATGTACAGTATAGTATGCACTCAGTACTTGGTCAGGGTTCCTTCTGCATGAATTACTGCATCAATGCGGCGTAGCATGGAGGCGATCAGCCTGTGGCACTGCTGAGGTGTTATGGAAGCCCAGATTGCTTTGATAATGGCCTTCATCTCATCTGCATTGTTGGGTCTGGTATCTCTCATCTTCCTCTTGGCAATGCCCCATAGATTCTCTATGGGGTTCAGGTCAAGCGAGTTTGCTGGCCAATCAAGTAGAGTGATACCACGATCACAAAACCAGGTATTGGTACTTTTGGCAGTGTGGACAGGTGCCAAGTCCTGCTGGAAAATGATATCAGCATCCCCATAAAGCTGGTCAGCAGAAGGAAGCATGACGTGCTCTAGACTTTCCTAGTAGACGGCTGCACTGACTTAGGAGTTGATAAAACACAGTGGACCAACACCAGCAGATGACATGGCTCCCCAAATCATCACTGACTGTGGAAACTTCACACTGGACCTCATGCAACTTGGATTCTGTGTCTCTCCACTCTTCTTCCAGACTCTGGGACCTTGATCTCCAAATGAAATGCAAACTTTACTTTTAACCTCTGAGCAACAGTCCAGTCCTTTTTCTCCTTAGCCCAAGTAAGATGCTTCTGATGTTGTCTCTGGTTCAGAAAGGCGACAGTTGTAGCCCATGTCCTCGGTACGTCTGTGTGTGGTGGCTCTTGAAGCACTGACATCAGCCATAGTCCACTCCATATTAATCTCCCCTAAATTCTTGAATGGCCTTTGCTTCACAATCCTCTCAAGGCTACAGTTATCTCTGTTGCTTGTGCACCTTTTTTCTACCACATGTTTTCCTTCCACTCAACTTTCCATTAATATGCTTGGATACAGCACTCTGTGAACAACCAACTTCTTTAGCAATGCCCTTTTGTGACTTACCCTCCTTGTGGAGGGTGTCAATGACTGTTTTCTGGACAACTGTTAAGTCAGCAGTTTTTCCCGTGACTGTGTAACCTACAGAACCAGACTGAGAGACCATTTAAAGGCTCAGGAAACCTTTACAGGTGTTTCACTAGGAATCTACAATATTGAACTTTTTCACAATATTCTAATTTTCTGAGATACTGAATTTTGGGTTTTCAAAAGCTGTAAGCTATAATCATCAAAATTAAAAATAAAGAAATACTTGAAATATATATCACTGTGTGTGTAATGAATCTATATAATATAGGAGTTTCACTTTTGAATTGAGTTACTGAAATAAATGAACTTTTTGATGATATTCTAATTTATTGAGATGCATCTGTATAAGGCAGTTCCAATTGTGCAGTTAGGAATGCAGTGCTTACATATGATAGGCTGGCAGAGGCTTCCTTTATGAAGCAGATATGCTTGTAGCCAATCACTGTGAGAGGGACGCTGTACTGTCACACTGCTGCACAGGCTTATGTCACATTTGTAAGCTGATTACAGCAGAGAAGTTCCTTATCTCCAGGAACCTGTCTCTAGGCTCAGCCTAGTTCTCCCACACAAGCAGGTGTCTTTCTTTACCTTCTTTCCCCACTTAATTTCATTCATTTTCTAGAATGACCCAGCAGGCTCTTTCTAAAACCTCCCTGTGTTTAAGATGGCCACCCAAGTCTCAGGAGTCATCGTCCAACTGGTGCCATGCAGGGCTGCTGTCAGAAACCACAGGGCCCTGTACAGCCAATGTGACAGGGCCCCCAAATCAACAAAGTTTACTATGCTTCAGTTATGAATAAACACAGTGATTTGTACCAATCACTCATTGTGTTCATTCAAAAAAGGAAGGGGCTGGTAAATGTGACATATTTATGGACTCTTCCTCCACTCTTCATCCTAAGGATCCTATAATGTGGGAGGGGGGGTTGGGGAAATGTATGGTGCACTGGGAGGTGCTGCAGAGAGAGCCATACAGGGGATCAGTTCCAGTAATTGCCCCACTCCCTCCGCTGTGCTGATCTCCCTCCCTGCCCACATCTGATTCACCCAGCTGCCTGGGCCCCCCCTGCTGGTCTGGGCCCTGTACAGGAGGACCAGTGGTACCACCTTATCCAGGGCCCTGGTGCCATGCTTGCTTCCCCCACGGAAAACAGAGCAAAGAAAGCAAGAATAAGTTTTGATTTTGATGGTAATTTGGTAATTTTTTTTCTGTCTGTGTCCCATCGGGGAGATTTCCTTTTACTGTCTGTCCCACAGCCAAAACAGGAAGTAAGGGGAAATCCCCCGTCACCAAATTACCAAAACTAGTGTCCCTATTCCAAGATTGCTCTTCTATTTTTGTTCTGGTAACAACTCAATATTTGGGATTTTTTTTACTCTCTCTGTATTAACAGTAAGCAGGAAAAAACAGAGATGGTGAATTTCCCTAAGGCACAGGCAGCAATAGAAACTGTCAGCTGTTCTTACCCCTCTCTACTCTATAAAATTAAAAAAAATTTAAAAAAGTTGAAGAAACTATAAAACTAAAGACAGATGGGGACA